CCCGCTCTGTTCCTGTAGACTAGCCCAGCCGGGTCACATGGTGCAGGAAACAGGAAGTGGTCATTGTCTGGAATGATGTCTGGATCACTCACATCAGTTTTGACAAAAATTTCAGAAAATCTTTTACTTCAATTTCCCCACTGAGTATCAGTGGATATAGTCATAATATTAGCAGAAAAATGTCCTGGAATTACAATTAAAAAGTCGTTTTTATGAGGAAAAAGTTCAGTTATGAGAATCTGATGTGAGCAGTTTGTGGTTCTTCCTTCAAAATAAAGTAACTTAAAACCTACTGATAATAATTTTCTATTAAGTTCTATTTCTAAAACTTGCACTAAAGTTTGATCAGCATTCCTCATTTTACGATTTTATTCTCGTTTTTAAAATAAACCTTGTAGCTTGGCCCTAATATTCTGTCGTAAATTTGACCTGAATCCAAAGTCCAGGAGCTGGAAAACAAGATGGCCGCCCTGGATGTGCTGACATCACTCTGAATTATGGAAACCCAAAGAAACGGGAAAAATCCAGATTTTCAAAAAATTCATCTTGAAAAACCAAAGCTGTGATTTTGACGGTCCCTGACGGTTCTGGTCCCTGACGGTTCCGGTCCCTGACGGTTCCGGTCCCTGACGGTTCCGGTCCCTGACGGTTCCGGTCCCTGACGGTTCTGGTGTCTGTCTCTGCAGGGCTACAAGCGTCCGATGGAAGCCATGTTCCCGGCTGCTAAGCGTCATGAAGGCGAGGCGTTTGCCGTGCAGCAGTACGGCTCCCAGCAGCCGGACCCTTTCGGCCCCTATGGATCTGGACCCGGGGGGTTTTCAGGCCCCGAGCGCCGGCCCGTCCCCGGACAGTACCAGTACCCATACGGCCGGGACCGCCAGGGACCCCCGCAGCACGGCATGATTGGAACGGCCCCTGCGGCGGAGGGGGGGCCGCAGCCCAGCTTGTGGCCCCCCAGGACAGAGATGGGGTTCTCGTACAGCCGGCAGGGTCAGGGGCCCCCCTTCCCCGACCAGGAGGGCCGGCCCCCACAGGACACCCAGTGGGCCCCGAGTCACCTCAACCAGTGCCAACCTCCCTTCCCCTCCCACTCTTCTTCCTCCTCCTCTTCCTCCATGCCCCCGCTCCCCTCCAGGCATCCCCCCTCCTCTTTCCAGGCCACGCCCACCATCCCAAATCACGTGACCCGCCCCCAGAGCCCCTCGTCGTTCCCCCGGCCTCCGGTGGGCTCCCTGTCCCCCAACAGCGCCCCCTACCTGCCCGTTAAGAAACCAGTGGTCCCCACCGTTCCCCCGGCCAATCAGGGCCTCCCCCTCGTTTACAGAGAGGTCGTTTTCCCGCCCGGCTCCGTGGAGGCCACACCCCCCAAGCTCAAACCATGGCGACGGCTAACAGCGAAGGACACAGGTGAGCCGCTCTGCATAGAGGTCACATGATCAGGCGCCATCCTTAGAAAGTCTTAAATTCATGTATATAAGCTTAGCTTAACCGCTAACTAACTGCTAATACTAGCTAGCTATCACCCAGTGATGAAGTGAGCTAGCTGTTCTTGTTTCTGACATTAAGGCCTTAAAACGATAAGTTAGCCTCAAATACTTTACAAACAGGTTTTAAATTTTGTTATGGCAGAAATATTAATCTCATGTTCCAAGTAGTAATATTTTTTCTTGTGAAACTTTATTGTTGCACATCTTCACTCTGTTCTGTGACTTAAGGCGGTTGCGGCTGCTGCTAATCGGCTAACTGATGTACCGCTGCTATTTAGCTAGCAATTTCTGTTGTCCGATTCTATTGTGATGCAGAATTACATTTCATTCATGATAAAAGTCTTAAATTTGAGTTGGTGAAACTTCACTCTGATCGGCTCTGTCAGGAACGCCGGAGGCCTGGCGGGTGATGATGTCACTGAAGTCGGGGCTCCTGGCGGAGAGCACCTGGGCGCTGGACACCCTCAACATCCTGCTGTACGACAACGGCACTGTGGGCTCGTTCAGCCTGACGCTGGTGAGGCGCTGCGCCTGACAACGTTGAGCTTAGGGAAGTTTCTTAGATCAGAACCAAATGTTTGCTTCTCCACGTGCAGCTGCCCGGGTTCCTGGAGCTCATCGTGGAGTTTTATCGCCGCTGCCTGATCCAGATGTTCGGCATCCTGCAGGAGTACGAGGTCGGGGCCGAGGGCCCGAAGACGACCCCCGAGGACCTGGGGGAGGCGCCGTCGCCGCTCGACCCGGAGGACGCCAAACCTGAGGAAGCCAAACCTGAGGGTTTCGCTCAGCAGAGCAGCAAGTACGACAAGTGGCCGGTCAGGGTGGAGGAGGCCGGGGAGAGCTGGGAGGAGGTGGAGCGCCGGGCCGACCCAACACGACCCGACGGCTTCATCAGCGGCCTGCTGCACTGGAAGGCCGGAGGAGGAGACTCCACGTCTCACATCCAGACGCACTTTGAGCCCCGAACCGGAGACTTCAGGCCCCCAGACCCGGAGCAGGAGGAGCAGAACCGAGACGGAGTGGAGGAGCAGACGGGTCATGAAGGAGGTAAACGGATCAATGTGGGGCTGTGCTCTCTGTCTGCAGCGCTGACTTCATGTACGGCCTGGAAAAACCTGCAAAGTTTAAACCTTCTGATATAAAATATAAATAAGTCAGTCTGGAATTTTATTCCAGTATTTTTTCTTCCTGTCCTGCTGATGCAGCGTTTAAAAGGAGTTTGCTGGATTATCACTTCAACGTCTCCCGATTCAGACATTAATCAGCTGCTCCTGGTTGTTGCTGTTTCTGCTCTGCAGGCTCTTCCTCTGAGGTCAGAGGTCAGCTCCCGGCCCCTGCTGAGGCTCAGAATGCCATCAGCCTGCAGGAGGACGAGCCGCGTTGCTGGGACGAGGCGCCGCTGTCCACTGCCGAGTCGTGGCAGGACTCCCTGGCCAGACGCTGCGTCTGCGTCTCCAACATCATCCGCAACCTCTCCTTCGTCCCCGGCAACGACGCCGTGCTGTCGCGCCACGCGGGCCTGGTTCTGATCCTGGGCCGGCTGGTGCTGCTGCACCACAGCCACCCGCGCAGGAAGCGGGCGCCGCCCACCTACCAACGGGAGGAGGAAGCGGGCCGGGCCTGCAGCCGCGACGAGTGGTGGTGGGACTGCCTGGCGGCGCTGCGGGAGAACACGCTGGTGACGCTGGCCAACGTGTCGGGCCAGCTGGACCTGTCCCAGTACCCCGAGGACATCGTCCTGCCGGTGCTGGACGGGATGCTGCACTGGATGGTCTGTCCGTCCGCCGAGGCGCAGGACCCGTTCTGTGGAGCGAGCAGCGCGGCGGCGCTGTCGCCTCAGCGGCTCGTCCTGGAGTGCCTCTGCAAGCTGAGCGTCCAGGACTGCAACGTGGACTTGCTGCTGGCCACGCCCCCCTTCAGCCGCCAGCGCCAGCTCTTCGCCACGCTGGTGCGCCTGGTGGGCGAGCGCCGCAGCCAGGTGTGCCGGGAGATGGCGGTGGCCGTGCTGTCCAACCTGGCGCGCGGCGACGCCACGGCGGCCCGGGCCGTCGCCCTGCAGAAGGGCAGCGTGGGAACTCTGATCGGCTTCCTGGAGGACAGCCTGGCCGTGGCGCAGTACCAGCAGAACCCGCACGCCGCCGCCGCGCCGCCAGAGCCGCCCAGCATCAACATGATGTGCCGCGCGGCGAAGGCGCTGCTGGCCGTGGCGAGCGTGGAGGAGAACCGGCCGGAGTTCGTCCTGTACGAGAGCCGGCTGCTGGACATCTCGCTGTCGTCGGCCCTCAACTCGGCGGTGGCGGCCATCATGTGCGAAGTGCTGTTCAAGCTGAGCCGCTCGTGACACACAGACCGCCACGGAGCGCGCTCAGTGTGACCGACCGGGTCCGATTCTATTTTTATTTAAAGAGACGGAAAGAAGTTTTTACTTAGAAATGAAAATATATAGAATATATAAAGCTCCTCGGCTCCATCCACAGATGTTTATTTGGGTTTTTAAATAATTTTAATACAAAAAAATATTTAATACTTTTTAATTTTCTAAATATTGAGTTTTTTGTTTTGTTTGAACCAAAGTGGTTTGGTGATGGGGAGGGAATGCTCTTAATTTTTTTGAAACAAGCGTGCTCATTTCTTTCCGTTTGCAGGGCTGCTCCATGTGGGCGGGGCTTGCTGATTGTGGGCGGGGTCAGGGTTGTAGATAAACATCCTTTTTTTAACGTGTTATGACGGAGGAAACACTGATGTTCAGTCGTGTTCTTTGTTCTGGTGCAATAAGTTTGTTTTGACGTTTTTTTAATGTGAATTTTTGAACCATCCGCAGTTCAATCGCCAGTCGAGGCGATGTGGGCGGAGCTGCATCCATTCTGTTTCCACCAACATCCGCCTGTAAATATGTACATTGCAGCTCCAGCAGGGGGCGCCGGTCACAGCGGCTGACAGTTTCAGGGGCGAGGCGGGTGCGTTTGATTTGACGGACTGCGTGTACAGGCTGGGGGGCGGGGTTTCACCGACGCCGCTTCACAAACAGTTGTAAACAAATGTAAAGAGAGAAAAATGACTTTGTTTCTGCAGTATGAGATCTTTATATGTTCCACGACATGTTAAAGAATAAATGTACATGAACTCTGGTTGAGCACTGTGAACAGAGCGCCACCTGCTGCTTTTCTTTGACTAAACCTGAGCGGTTTCCAAGGAAACAAACAGCTACTCCAAGAGATGCTAGTCGTTAGCATGTTTAGCTTGTCCACATTCATACAGCTTCATGTCACCATATGATAAAACGTTGGTTTGGAGTTTGGTGCATTTTTCAAACCAAAAAGTTATTTTAAAAACAGGAATTCATAATTATGAGATTAAAAATCATTTTCACTTCATAAAAACCTGTCAGGTCTGCATGACTCCAGTAAACGGGTTGAGGACATATTTAGCTTTTTTAATTTAAGCGTTGGTGCAGAAACAAAAACATTCAGCTTTAATAAAACTGACATTTACAGGAAGGATCACATAGTGCTCGACTGTTGGCTGAAAAAATTATTATGGTGCCATGAGGTTAAAACAAATCAATAAATGTAATTTCTTAACTAGTGTAATCAAAAGCCTGTCAAATTTGGAGACATTTTTAGCTAAAGTTTAACATCAGACAGTGAAACGGAAAGCAAAACCAGAACAGTTCACAGATCAGAAGATATAAAAATGCATAAAAACTAAAAACTCTAGAAAATGTTTCACTGATTAATTTATTTACAATTAAAACAAAGAAAATGGATCACAGTTAAAAAATAATTTCTGAAAATTTGGTAAACTGTTTACAGTAAAAAGCAAGACCCTTATTTTTTTTCAGCATTCTTGACTTTTCCCAAGTTAAAAATCAGGACAATCTTTTCAAGTCTCAAAATGTTTGTGTCCATAAATCTCTGGTAAAGCTGAAGGTACCGAGCATCGAGCCCTGAGGAACTCCATGCAGTTGGTGGGTTCCGCTAACTAAAAAGTTAGCTGTGATAACTCTAAACCATGAATCATGAACATTAGATCTGCTAACACTGTAGCGCTAAAGCAACATAGCATTCAGAAGCTAATGCTAAAGCACCAAAAATTTAAATATTTGCATTAATCTTTAGAACTGCATTCCTTATTTTTACTTTATTTTACTGTTCTTGCTTGCAACTTTAAAAAAAGTCAAGCCTTCTTATAGCGACTTGAGAGAATTATTTAAAATATTTTCACATTGATCAGTCATTTCTGCATTTTTTTTTTCAATCAAAATGAGTGATTTTATTGATTATTCATCACAGTAAAAGTGACTTTGTTACTTGCATAAATTAGCGGCAACAACTTGACATCAAATAAAGCAAAACTTTCTGAAAATTAGCAGGTTTTTTGATTTTGTGTGATCACAAAAATCTGGAGGGACTGAGGAATGATTTGCCTTTAAACTGCTTTGATTGGATTAATCAAACATTTCAACACACAAATGTTTTCTTGAACGTTTTACTATGAGACCCATTGGAGGCTAAACGGCCACATAAGTAGCTTTGGTGGGCCAGATTTGGCCCCCGGGCCTTAACTTTGACACCAGAAAAATCCTCCAGAAAACAACATTTCACATTTAAATCTTTTTTATTTACAATATGTGACTATTCTTGTTCTGGTGAGGCTGTAAAATCTCCACAGGGTTTTTCAGTCTCTGGCTGATCCTGTGATTTGGACCTGAAGATGGCGTCCCAGTCCAACGGTTCTGATCCGGCTGCAGCCTCTGGATTCCTCGGGATGGCCGGGAAGAACAACCCCATCTTCTGTCTGAACTCTGCCAACTGCAAGAGGCGGAAAGGATCAGAAACCTGCAAACTTCCTTCATGTAGAAATTTATTCATCATTTTAACAAAGTAAACGTTTTTGATATTTTTGCACATTAATTTGACTCATTTTCAGTTATTTTTGTGAATTTCAATCACTTGTTTGAATTTTCTCCAGATATATTCCAAACTTTCCAGATTATTAGAAACAAACGTACGCTGTGGACGCCGAGAGCTTTCCACACGGCGACGCTGAGGAGACCCACTCCACACCAGGCGTACAGGGAGCCCCAGCCCAGCGCTCTGAGGGCCAGCGAGGCCCCGGACTCGGGGGCCGCCGCCGTCGCTGCCACACCCTGCAGAGGAAACAGGCTCTTCAGCAGCTGCTTGGCTCCTTGTTTCCTTAAAACTGAGACTTTCCTAAAACTGTCTGGTGGCGACCAATAGGATTCCAGAGACTGTAACCATGGCGATGTCAGAGCCACTAGAATTTCTGTTCCAGCTCAGGAAACTTTATGACCAAATATGGGCAGAACGCTGTAAACGTCCAATCAGATCTCTGCCCAGGGGGCTGGTGTGACTTTACCTTCATAATTTCACATTATGAAAATAATTTCTATCATTTCTGAGTAACAGAGTCGCTCACAGTTTGGCCCCTGAATGTTTGACCATTTTAGACTTTGGCCCCTGAATCTTTGGTCTTTTTGAACTTTGGTCCTTTAATCATGAGATTTTTACAGTCTGGCTCCTGATGAAGGTTTGATTCCAGATAAATCTGATTTCCTGACGTGTTTCGGTTCGGTTCTGTTTTCTAGTGAAACTGAAACTCCGGGCCTCCGGCTCAAATCAAATCTCCCGTCCGTCAGACGACAAAGCCCACTGTGTGACGGAAATAGACCGGAGGAACAGCGGCCGGATTGTTCGCCTCAGACGGACCAGAACCGCCGCCTCTTTCTCAGAACCGCCGCCGGATCGAGTCAGGAGGGAAAACAGACGTCATGGTTTCACAAACGCAGCTTTAACTTCCCAAACCAGATTAGTAGGAAGAGATGCTGCTGGAGTTCAGCAGAGATGAAGCCGTTCTGCTCAAACTGACACCAAATCCTGCTGATGTCAAAATATTAGCAGAATAAATTCAGTCATTTGTAAAATTATACCTTCTCTAGAATTATAATAACTTGATTAAGGTAGTATTACTTTTTTTAGCATTACGACTTTCTTCTACTATTATTACTTTATCCTCATGACTTTTTTCTCAAATTATTTTCACTGCTGTATATCTTTGTGACTTTAGTCTTGTAATTATTTTTTCCCAGTCTGGCTCTAACTCCGTGTTATTAAAATATTAACTCCATTTGTCTTCCTGGAAAACATTTTCCCGCTGGACTGAGTTTACCTTACTGAACCACTCTGGGCTCTTCTTCTTGGCCAGCGCCAGCGTGGAGCCGAACCCAGCGATCATCCCCGCCGAGGCCACTGTGGTCAGAAACACAGCACCTGCAAACAGGAAGCCAGGTGAGCCGTGATGTCACAGCAAACAGGAGGCCAGGTGAGCTGTGATGTCACAGCAAACAGGAAGCCAGGTGAGCCGTGATGTCACAGCAAACAGGAAGCCAGGTGAGGCATGATGTCACTGCAAACAGGAAGCCAGGTGAGCCGTGATGTCACAGCAAACAGGAAGCCAGGTGAGCCGTGATGTCACAGCAAACAGGAAGCCAGGTGAGGCATGATGTCACTGCAAACAGGAAGCCAGGTGAGCCGTGATGTCACAGCAAACAGGAGGCCAGGTGAGCTGTGATGTCACAGCAAACAGGAAGCCAGGTGAGCCGTGATGTCACAGCAAACAGGAAGCCAGGTGAGCCGTGATGTCACAGCAAACAGGAAGCCAGGTGAGCCGTGATGTCACAGCAAACAGGAGGCCAGGTGAGCTGTGATGTCACAGCAAACAGGAAGCCAGGTGAGGCATGATGTCACTGCAAACAGGAAGCCAGGTGAGCTGTGATGTCATAGCAAACAGGAAGCCAGGTGAGGCATGATGTCACTGCAAGAGGAAGCCAGGTGAGCCGTGATGTCACAGCAAACAGGAGGCCAGGTGAGCAGTGATGTCACAGCAAACAGCTGCTTCATCAGCTGACATCAGTACCAGGTTCTACGGATGACCCAGTTTGGACCAAGCTTCAACTTTGATAAACAGTAGATAATAGTGCAAAACAAGCCCGCAGCATCACACCTCCACCACCATGCTAGCTCGTTAGCGTCCTTCCTGTTTTGTTGTGAATATTCCTAATGTTTGTTGATTCATATGTCTGTCATACTCATATTATTATAAATGCTTTGACATCAATACCTGCAATAGCAGAATCAATACAGTAAAAAACACTGAACCTGTTCTCCAATGTCTTTCCGACCGGAATTACACGAACACACTGCCATCACATTTTTGTCTTAGTGGGTGAATTATCAGCGGGATAGTTGGGGGCATTTCAAAACGTCCTCCTTAAACATGCCAGTGACCCCTGACCTCTGCAGCCGCAGGCAGGTGAGCTGAACCTTAAATCGGTGGATGTTTGACTGAAGTTCGGCGGAAGCGGCTCCGTCCGGTTTTAAGCTCCAGTGGATCTGCAGCTGCTCACCTTTTAACACATGATGTCCTCCCTTTTCATCAGCATCACGGTTTGCTCCGCCAGCAGCGTCTCCGCAAACATCCGCGGCCGTCATGCTGCTTCGGTCCGTCCCCGTAAAACGTCCGGGCACAAACACTGACACTAGGAACCAGATATTGTTTCCCAGGGAATTACTGAAGAAACCCCAAAAATATGAAAACCTCACAGGTTTTTATTTTCACTGCGTTTTAACGACTAACTTTTAACTAGAAGATAAGGAGACAGAATCCTGAACAAAGATCGTTTATTACTTCTGAAAGCAAGAGACTCACTACAGGACAAACATGTTTACATTTAAAATTTTACTTACAAGAAGCAACGTGAATGTCAATATAACATATGTTTAAATAAGATTTTCAACCTGAAAAGATTCCATGTTATTTAAAAAAAAGAGCTTTAAACGATAATAATTAATAATAATAATAATAATATAATAATAATAAATAATAATAATAATAATAATAATAATAATAATAATAATAATAATAAAGCTGCTATCGTGAAGTTAAAATGTGCTCTTACATTTTAACTTGAATAAATAATTACAAAAAGTGTTTGTTTGCTGCAGTGGTTGTAAATATTTTATCATAACTTATAGAGGAAGTTCTACTTTTCAAAATTACAATTTTTAGCGAAGTTTAATTTTTGTTTTGTTAGTGTTTATTTTTTATTTATTTTCTTTGCAAGACGTTTTGTTTTTATTTCATATTTTCTTAACAACCTGACAGAATAACTGAAAGATAAAAACGCTATAGATGGTTAAGTGAACCCTCTATAGCGGTTTTTCGTGCGTAGTGACACATCCTGTTGGTGATAGAGGATCTCCGCAGGCTCCAGCGGCTCTGCGGAGGATCGGGATGCTCTCCTCCTCCTCTTCCTCCTCCTCCTCTTCCTCCTCATCCTTTTCCTCCTTTCCACGGACCATCTGAACGCCCGGTAACCTGGATCACACCCACTCCCATCCAGAATCGGAACCGGTTCACATCCAGGCTCTGGGTCCGGAGCAGGCGGATATGGTACCGAACCGGAGGTTCTAGCGCGTGCGTTTGTTTACAGAACAGATTAATTGTGATAGTGATAAAATCCGGTGGCTTTTGTTTGGGTTCGTGATGGAGATACGGGCTCGTCCGCGCGCGCGCCTTTGATTATCCTTTCATCTTCGCGCGCGCTCACCTGTCAGGACTCATGTCTCAGATCCAGCACGCGGTTCCGGACGGACCGATCCGGTACACGCAGATCTGCACCCGCAGTGCCAGCTGCTCCTCCCCGCCGCCCTCATCCTCCGCCGGCACCGAGCCGCCGTCCTGCCCCGGACCCCGCGGCCGGACCCCCCGCAGGAAGTGGCAGGTGTTCCCGGGCCGGAACCGGTTCTACTGCGACGGGCGGGTGATGATGGCGCGGCAGACCGGGGTGTTCTACCTGACCCTGGTGCTCATCCTGCTCACCAGCGGCCTCTTCTTCGCCTTCGAGTGAGTCATGTTTGGGTTTAAAGTTCAGAATATCTGGATGGAGAAACTTTGTGTTAAACTTTAAATGTTTCCCAAAGTGGAGATTATAATCCCAAATGAATCAATCTGAAGATTTGGGATTCAGCCTCTTTCAAATGATCATTTCTGACACATTTTACACACTTTGGGCCCCAGAGTTCCTGTTCAGTACCGTTCTGGGCCCAACCTGCTGATTAACACCTTTGGGCCTCAGCCTCAATGAAAATGATAACTTGTCTCATTGTTTTGTTTCCTCTGCTGTATGGAGCGCTCTGATTGGTCGAGACGCTCAGCCCGTCTCTCTGTGTCCTCAGCTGTCCCTACCTGGCGTCCAACCTGAGTCCGGCCATCCCGGCCGTCGGCGCCGTCCTCTTCGTCTTCGTCATGGGGATGCTGTTCAGGGCGAGCTTCAGCGACCCCGGCGTCCTGCCCAGGGCGACGCCCGACGAGGCCGCCGACCTGGAGCGGCAGATCGGTAACCATGGAGACGTAGATTAGTGGGCGCCGTTGCAGGCGTCTGGAGTTTGTTTCAGTAGTTTCCTTCGTCCTCCGCGCCGTCAGAGTGCTGAGTCACATGTCACCTCCTGGTTTCTATGGAAACTGAAAGTCGCCGTCTATTTCTGGAGGCCAGTCGTTCCGTGATGCAGAGAGACGATCAAACATGGAGGACGACGACGGCGACGCCGTCAGAGGAAGAAGACGGGGGCCGCCATTTTGTTTCTGAAACTCCAGGAAGACTCCTGATTCCAAAGAAACAAATTCATCCATCCATCAAAGTTCCTCCAGGATGTTTTTATATTTATTTTATTTAGTCGCTCTATTTCAGGAGTCATTTGGATTTCAGTTTTCATCTTTGACCTCTGAGCTCTTGACCTCTGAGTTCTTGACCTCTCAGGTCTTGACCTCTGAGCTCTTGACCTCTCAGATCTTGACCTCTGACCTCTGAGCTCTTGACCTCTCAGGTCTTGACCTCTGAGGTCTTTGACATCTCAGATCTTGACCTCTGACCTCTGAGCTCTTGACCTCAGAGTGTGTTGTATCAGCTGCTGCCTCGTCTCTGAGCTGCTCTTTGCCTTCAGACTCGACCAGCTGCTCCAAGCCGCCGCCTCGCACCAGAGAGGTTCTCATCAACGGTCAGACCGTCAAGCTCAAGTACTGCTTCACCTGCAAGATCTTCCGGCCGCCGCGGGCGTCCCACTGCAGCCTGTGTGACAACTGTGTGGGTCAGTTTACCTCGTATGTTTCTGCTTTCTGTCACTTTCAGCCCTGGATTTATTTCCATTTTTGTGCTGTGATCATTTTTGCTGGTTTTTGTTGCTGCAGAGCGTTTCGACCATCACTGCCCCTGGGTGGGGAACTGCGTCGGACGGAGGAACTACCGCTTCTTCTACCTCTTCATCCTCTCCCTCTCCTTCCTCACCATCTTCATCTTCGCCTTCGTCATCACACATGTCGTCCTCAGTGAGTAAACGAGCTTCTGCCGCCTCCTCACATTGTTTTCTGTTGTGACTCTGCAGCTGATGTCTTTAGAAATCTGCTGAGAGGTTTTAAAGACAAAACTTTGAGAACATTTTAGAAACATTCAACCTTTAATTCACAGATTGCAATGGAAGAGTATTTAGATATTTATCCCACTGAAAAGATCTCTGCTGTAATTTATCAGTTATATGTTGCACAAGATGAGATCAGAGAGCGACAGAAAGATGGAGCTACGCATAAAAATACAGAAAGAGGCAAAGTCGCATTTCAGATGTTTTTGTTTAATTGACCTAATTAAGACCCTGATTTTTCTCACAATACCTGACTTTTCCAAAAGTGGGAAAAGCGTTAGGATAACTTCTAAAATCATCATTTTCAAATCAGGAAATTAAAACAACAGGATCAGGCATCGAAACATGATCCTTATACCCTGAGAAACTCCATGCTGTTCCTGAAAACCAGTGTCGAGCATCGCTAACTAAGAAGCTAGCCGCATTAACACTTCTTATAAACATTAGTTCTGCTAATGCTAAAGCGCTGCAACTACATAGCATGTAGCTGAAGCTAAGGTAACGGCGCTAAATCCAAAAGTGACACAAGTTTTCAAAGTTGCAAAAGCACTAAGTTAAAAATTAGCTCTGCTTTGAGCAGAAATGTTTCCACCACTTATGAAATCTGATATAAACAGACAGAACCATCATTTTTGGATAATTCATCCCAGTTTTGATTTGTTTTTTGCTTTTTACCTCGAGGAACTTCATGCAGTTGCTAAAAACTACTAGTTGTACCGCTAACTAAAAATCTAGTTGTGCTAATGCTAAAGCCTCAAAACAGCATAGTATTTAGTGGAAGCTATTGCTAAAGCATTAACTTCAACAACGTTGGCTTGATACCCACCATGCAAATGCAAATCGATTTCAAAGTTAGCTTTCAATGCTAGCTCTGCTATTAGCAGATTGTGTGCTAATCACCACCACTGCTAAAAACTGATATTAACAGACAGAATTGTCCTTTCTGGATAATTCAGGATGTTTCCTGCTGTTTTTGTGTTGGAAAACCTTTAAGCCTGTCACATTAACACATTTAACTCCACTGAACCAGGCGGTTGAAAGCAGTTTCTGAGGATGGAGGTTCAACCCTGATCACTGGTTTCTGGGGATTTTTTCCTGTCATCAACCAGACTCTCTTCTCAGGCCGTTAAAGTTGTTTATGTGGCCCGAAGCTCCAAACTCCAGAGCTGTGAGGCTTTTTAACAACCAGCAGACAGTCTCAGATAAACTCGTGTTTTCTTCTGAGTGCTCCTTGTTTGCTGTTTATAGCAGCGCTGCTATAAAAAGATGCAGAACAGAGTGGTGACTTTGATCTGCATGAAATTAACTGCAGCCTCTGACGCCTTTACTGCCTCTCAGTGTCTTTGTGTTTAAACAATCCCTCAAAGGTGAAAACTGAAATGTTTCTGTGCTTTTCTCATGATTTTTGGCCTTTTCCTGTTGCCTGTTTTCCTGTCTTCACACCTTGCTAACTCCATTAGCTCAATGAGATTTAGCTTGTTTTAGCAATAAAACCTTTTCTAACTGTGGAGGGCGTTTTTAGATTTAGATTGAAAACAGGAACAAATTAGATCTTCTTGGTGATTCAGATCTTCACTGTAAAACATAAACACTGGGATGAATGGGTGAACTTTATTAATGAAGTTATGAATCTCTTCTTCTTTGTTTTCCAGGATCAAACCGGACCGGATTCCTGACCACACTCAAAGACAGTCCAGCCAGATATCCTTCAGAAAGGTTCTGCTTGTGGAGCTCAGAAAGGTTCTGAGAAGTTCTGAAACAAAACAAATCGCCTGTTGTCACATTTATACAACACAAACACAAAATTATTTGGTTATAAATCCAGTCTTGACAAAAAACGTGACTCTCCTGTTAGCAGAAGTTTTTCCACCACTTATGAAAACTGACATAAACAGACAGAACCGTCATCTTGGATAATTCATCCCAGTTTTGTTAGCATAGCTGTAAAAGTGTTGCTAAACTTAGCTGTAAGTGTGAGCGTAGTCGTTAGCATGGCTGTTCAAATGTAGCCATAAGAGTTGTTGTGTTAGCGTATCTGTTAGCATAGCTGTA